CTTCTGGGGATCTGGACGGATGCCCTCCTGATCGACTAGGTGTCCGAGAACAAGGGTTTGTCGGTCCCCCCGAAGTGGCATTTATTTGAGTTAAGAACAAGGCCAGCGACGACTGTAAAAGGGTGTACATATAGGTAAGACCGAAACCGCTGAATCGCAAATATTACCGCGAGGCATTCTTGTTCTGTGACAGTGTAATTCTGCTCGGGCCTACTCAAGGAGCGACTTGCGTATGCAATCACGTGCTCGCGGTTACCATAGTGTTGAACTAGGACGGCACCAATTCCTATGCCGCTGGCATCTGTGTGCAGTTCGGTTGGAGCTGATGGGTTGAAGTGCTGAAGAACAGGCCGCGACGTCAGGAGGAACTTCAGTTGACGAAAAGTCCGGAGTCGCACTCCGGAGTCCACTCGAACGGAGTATTCTTCCGTAGCAAACATGTCGACGAATACGCGACATGGGCAAATTTAGGTATAAAGTGGCGAAAATAGGAGCAAAGCCCCAAAAAACTGCGGAGCTTCTTCACAGAGCGCGGCACATTGAACGTTCCAACGGCTGCTGTCTTCTGGGGATCTGGAAGGGTGCCCTCCTGATCGACTAGGCGTCCGAGAACAAGGGTTTGTCGGATCCCGAAGTGGCATTTATTTGAGTTAAGAACAAGGTCAGCGTTTCTTATGCAAGTCAGTACAGTATTCAGACGTGAATTGTGTTCGCTGAAGGTGGGGCCAAAGATGACGACGTCATCGAGATAGCACATGCAAATGCTCCACTTCAAGCCACGAAGAACAGTGTCCATAAATCGCTCGAACGTCGCCGGCGCGTTGCACAGTACAAATGGCATCACGTTGAATTCAAAAAGGCCGTCGGGGTTACAAAGGTTTCATCTCTGCTGAGCAGTTGGGCGCAGTCTGACTGATGGCTGGAGACTCTGAGACCATTCTGACGTCACTTGTGGCCTGCTCCTCCAACGTTCTCAGTTTGAATCCGGCTGATAGAACAACAGGCTCTGAGGCTGTGTTGAGTGCCCACAGACAAGCATGTCCGTCAATGGCTGTAAAGACAGACCGTGGGACCAACACATTCTTCTTGATGGCGTTTGCATGATCAGGCTCGACAAGTCCAGTGCAGGGTCCTGAGCGCACATGAGAAGAGCTTACGGGTACAAACACTGCTGTCCTACCAGGGGTCGTCACATCTTCAGACAACGAAAGCGCATTGATGGGCAGAGCCGGAAAATCGTCAACTATTGCAGCGGGCAACGTACTTTATAGAAGAATCTCTCCAGTTCCACAGTCAAGCGTAGTGCCGCATTCATGAAGGAGGTCTATTCCTGAAATGACGTCATGAGTTGCAGGAGCCAGTACAGCGAAATCAACTCTAAAATTTTGTCCACTAATCGTGAGTACAACTGAGCAAATACCAACAGGGCATAACGCTTTGCCTCCAACTCCATGAAAAGTTTCTTTACGATTCCACGCGAATATAACTTGGTGACCCAAAAAACGATGTTTGAAACGAAGACTTATAACCGAAGCAGCTGCACCAGTGTCTACAAGAGCAAGAGTATCTACACCGTCTATACACACACGCACTTTGTTCATCATCACAGCAGAAAGAGGAATTGGCGAAACTGACCGTCCCGCGACCGCACCTCCATCAGCCACACCAGCATCTAGTTCCCCAGTTGATGCGGGAAAGGTGACGGACGACGCGGAGACGGCAACTGGCGGGAACGTGTCGGAGGCGGGGGACTAGCTGCGAAATTCGTTAGGCCATCGCTGTAGGGGACGGTGGTCGGCCGGATGAGAGGTCTAGGTTTCGTGTATACGAGGCGGGTATGTTGAAAAATATGGCGGTGCAGGCGGCCGGATGGGACAGAAGTGCGAAATATGCCCTGGGAGACAGCATGTGTAGCAAAAGGGGACTTGTTGGCCTACATTAGCAGAAGTATGCAGAGACGGGTCGTGCTCCGTAGGAACATTTGATGATGTCGCATAGTAATATTCTGGTAGAGGCCTGGTTGACGACGGTCAAAGTTCCGCAGCGGCACGTCGAGATGATGACATCCGGTGGTGGCCGTGATCCGTTGGGGACAACGGAAGATGTGGGGTGAAATCTGCAGTTGCTGTGCGCGGTCGGTTTTCGACGTGGCGCTCTCGCATCCAGTAGGGAGGTGGTTCGGGGCACGTGGCGAACGAGCATTGGTGGTGAACGTCACCTGCTTGAAGTCGTACGGGCTCTTCTCGAACTACTTGACGTACGAGGAAGGGAATGTCTTCGCAGGCGGCGACATCCATACTTGCAACAGTGGGAACATTGTCCAACCGCCCGAACTTGGAGAAAATTCTCTGGGTCTTCAACGCCTTAAATGTGCGACACTGCTGCCTGAAAATAGAAGGAGTGTTCAAGTTTTCTTTTGTTATCAAAAAATTGTACACGTCCTCGGCGATGACTTTTAACAAATGACCGACTTTGTGTTGTCAGACATATTTGCATTGACAATCCCGCAAAGCTTCAATACCTGTTCAATGTAGGTTGTGCACGTTTCGCCGGGCAACTGAGCCATACGTGACAGCGTTTGTTCAGCTTTGTTTTTCATGGAACTCGTGTCCCCAAAGCAGGCCTTCAGTTCCTTAACAAATATGTCCCAAGTGGGGAGGACATGTTCATGGTTCTCAAACCAAAGCAAGGCTGTCCCGGCAAGGAAGAATACTACGTTCACGAGTTTCGCCGGTGCGCCCCATTCGTAGTAGCGGCTCACTCTGTCGTAGTGTTTTAGCCAAGCGTCCACGTCTTCGTCAGTTTTACCTGAGAATATCCGTGGCTCAAGTGCCCAGTAGTCTGGTTGTCGAGGTCGACGGCCACCTTGTGCTGTGTCGGAGGCACTCGACTTTGGGCCACCAGTGAGGACGGCTGCCGCAGCTCCTGGCTCATCTACCATCTGACACGGGGCCATGGCTTCGCAGCCTGCTTAGACTCGCCGCGCGTGGCTAGAAGCGGCCACTATGGAGCTGGAGGCGCGGGTAAGCATTCCCGTCGTCTTTGTCAACCGCCATGACCTCTACGTGATTGTGGCCGTGCTCGAGCCATCCTGGGATGTGCCTGTGTTTTGGGCTACTTTGACATGTTGAAAAGAATGCCGAAGAGGCACGCAGTTACATCGCTTCCCGGATCAACTCCTCAGACCCGCTCGGTAATGGCAACCCGAGAACCAACCACCTAAGCAGGAGCGACACCCGCGCGGACGCTATCAAGGCCCCATTACCTGGCATTCGGCGAGGATGAGAGTTAGACGCGAACGCCATCAGGGCTTCCTTTCTTGCTATTTGGCGAGGGTGAGAGTTCCACGCAAATGCTATCAAGGCACCATTTCCTGGTACTCGGCGTGGGTGAGAGTTGGACACAGACGCCATCAAGGCTCGTTTTCCTGGTAGTCTGCGAAGATTCCAGTTTGATGTTTTTAGAACACAGCTCGTAGTTTTAGGGAACAGTTCCACCATTTTCTTCGCAGTCGTGAGCGTCCTACCTCTTCTTCTTTTTCGCTCTTTCAGTCCGCATTACAATATCTTACTTTGGATGAATCGAATAATAAATTTGTCTTTATGTAACTTCATCTTGTAGTGGACTGATACATATAATCACTTTTCTGAAGGCACTACCATATTCGACGAATCATGCAATGTGCCGCTTCCTGCAAGCAATGTGAAAAGCAAAAGTTTTCTTTGCACTGACATAACCAAAAATGAGTTTGCATTGTATTCCTGGTCTGAGGTTTGATTCTGTTTATGCAAAAAGTAAGCATCAAGGACTTCAGGATAGAGAGATATTTAATTACAATTCAATTAGAGTGAGTTACTATAGCATACATACATTCAAAATTATCTCATTGTTCTTGTTGCAATAGAATACTGAGTGCCTTTAAGTGACATTGTAGTGGTTTGGCACATTTACACACAGTTCTTGATAAGTGGCGTCTGAAAGAGTTAAACGAGGTAGTGTACGTTAGCGTTGACACAATGAACGATAATCTCACTAGTATCATGAAAAGTGTGCAAATGGAAGGCAGAGGTGCAATAATAAGACAGAACACTGGCAAACTACTCCAGGAGAGGAATAATCTCATTAAGAGATGACAAAACATGAAAGCCTCAAATGCAACCGACAAAATCGAGCTAGTGGAGCTTTCGAAGTTAAAGGGCCAGTCAACAGGCTTCGGCTTTTTTTACACTCCCCAAACAAGCTCAAGCATGTCTTCTACGCCTGACTAACCTTCTTCCACGCACAGTGAAGTCAACTCGACGATTGGCGATGTTGACTTCATTACTGTTTGTTGAGACCTGGTTTGGACCAATCAACGAGCTGCGTGTTGCGTCATGTCGCCGATTGCCAAGTTGACGTCACTGCGCGTGGAAGGAGGTTAGTCACGTAGGAAAGATGCGCGAGCTTGTTTGGGGGGTGTAAAAAGTCTTGGCCTGTTGACTGGCCCTTTAAAATAGGCGTTTAGTAGCCGACATCAGAAGGTACATAATATGGAGAAAATCAACCGGGCTGTAAAAAGCGACCGGAGCCAAAAAGCTGCAAAGGCAAACTTGTGCATAGGCAAAAATCGGATGTATGCATTAAAGGACAAGGAATCCAATGGCATAACTAATATGAATAAGATAGTTGAGGTGGCAAAGGAGTTCTATGGAGAGTTGTACAGAAGCTGAAACAACCAGCACGATATCGTAAGAAGCAATAATATGCCAGAGGAATTCGACATCCTACCTGTAAAGACAAGAGAAGTAAGGAAAGCCCTAGAAGGAATGCAAACAGGCAAAGCTGCTGGTGAGGATAAGGTAACAACGGATATGCTAAATGATGGCAGAGAAGGCACCTTGAGATTTTTTAGCACGCCTTGGTTTCAAATGTCAAAATTTGCACAGAGGTGTAATGATGCTCTTTGCGTTTCAAAGAACCACCTTAGATGTCCTAACCTTCTGCAATGTTGCCATTTACAGGAGCTTGTGAAGGGACGCTGGCTTGCTCCACATGCCACTTGATATTCAAACCAGAGGACTTCAAGAGGCTCAAGGAGTCCCCTTCGGATGAGGAACTAGACATGTTGGACCTTGCCTACGGATTGTGTGAAACGTAAATTCTTTCACAAGGGATTTCTTCCTCACAGTGCAATGCCAGGTTGTGCAATGTTTGCAGCTGTCACACGAGCTCTCTCAAGCACATATTTCTACTGGCATCTATGGCTTCTGCATATCGGTGCAAAGAAAGGCACTTACCCGATATAATGTAGTGTGTCCATGCACTGCACAAAATAATTACACTGTAAAGGATAAAAACATGCAAGATTTTCAACTAACAGTCGGCACTTGTATTGAGCCTATGCCTCTCTTTGTATCTTGAGTCTACTGGAGTTATTAAAAAATTAGCACGAGGAAGTTGAACTTGCTGCTTAGCAGTATAAAACCAGCAATGTTTGTTTTTTCCAGACACCAATGTCTGTCCAAGTATCATGAAGGCTGTATGAAGTTGGTCACAAAGATTAAAAAAAAAGTGACTATTTCAAAGAGTTCGAACAGCGCCAAACAGGAATATTACCAAAGGTGCATGACCATTTAGGTGTGAGAAGCAAACCAACTTGAGACATTTCAATATAGCTGAACATATAATGAGTTCTGGGCAAGCGTTGAAACAAGACAACCACCCCGTTTGTAGTATGAAGCCACAAGGAAATCCATATCACAAAAAGCTTCTCAGTAGCCAAAAAATCTGTTCTGGTCCGGGGTTCGGAGCCGGGACCAACGCCTTTCTAGGGCGGTCGCTCTACCAAATGATGAAACCGGGAAGCTACCAATTGGTAGAGCGACCGCCCCAAAAAGGCGTTAGTCCCGAGTGTGATCCCCAGACCAGAACGAATTTTTCAGCTACTGAGAAGTTTTTCATTCTGGTATGGATTTTCTTGTGGCATCGTGCTATAAACGAATGGTTGTCTTCTTTCCCATGGCTGGACAAGTTCATACAGCCCCATTATTCCAAGTCTGTACATGGCATGGACCACAAGCTATGATTAATGAATTAAGCACATGTGCTTACACAAAAGATGCACTGCAGCTAAGTTACGTGTGTGCATGGGCTCTATAACGAACTTGCACGAACTAACCCAGGTTACTAGGTAAGAGTTTGAGAAAGGTGCTTTCTACACACAGATTTTCCTGCTGATGACATTTACACATAATTTTATATTTTGATTTCTGCCATTATTTTATGGCCTGGGGAATGCTGATTTTGTGTGAGGCTTCATCACACTTGGGCTTTGTTATGGAATAGGCATTACTGTCTCTATTCAACTAATTGCAATAACCTTATAAGAACACCCTAAAATGACCTGCTGTTATTATTGGTTGGGTTTTGATGCCGCAGTAACCTTAAAGCACCATTTTTATAAATATAATTAGAGTTTAAACACATGCACACACCCAGGCCCCAGACAGAAACAATGCTCAGCATATATTTTGCTACTGAAGCAAAATAGATGATTTTCGCACAATTACATATTTTTTGGGCCTAGGAAATGCCCATTTTGTTTGAGGCTTCATAACACTTAAGCGTTGTTCGTGTTTGGTGCTTGGCTGTCTGAATGTTCCAGTTTGTGCTCCAATTATATTTTTAAAGATGAGCAACCAACTATATATTTACTATTGGCATTATACACATCCTTGTACAGCTTCGAAGAAAACAAGGCACATTTCTAAATGATGGTTGACATTGCATATAATCCGTGTGCATGTAATGCAGACCACTCGCTCAAGAATTTGTTTCGCAGAAAATTGGCAAGCCTTCTCTAGCAGCAGCTTTGCACTGAAGTCTTGAGGTGTAGCTTCCCTGAATATATTTGTTAGGGAGCTCAGGGTTTGAAGGGTGCTGTCCACTGTAATTTGACCGTGAGCCTTACGTAAGTGAGCATGGCCTTTCCTTGAGCAAAGTTCAAAATGTGCCAGCACACTCTTGCTTGCATACCTCAAAACATTTTTCAGTGAATTAGAAACAGAACATTGCCCACTTGTTAATATAGTGTGTTAGTGAATATTGCAGTTAAGAAGCAGTGTAAACTATCATTAAGAAGCTTTATCACAGGTATGTTTACTTATAAAGGAGGAAATCTATCATATAATATGCATACGATTGTTGCATTATATAGTTATAATCTCTTGAAAATTTTGATTCAGGGCTTGTATTTTTTTTACATTCAGTATTGAAAAATGTAAACTATGGTTTGACATGCACACACACACAGACGATGTCCCAGGTACAAACATGTATCCATGCGCGAGGTCGCATGTCTGTGAAACAGCAACAAAATTTATAACACATTTGAACATTCTAATCACCAAGTAGATAACTTTCCAGCGATATAGCAAAATGCCAGCCAAAAAAATCTCATGAAACAGTGAATTCCAGTCATCAACTATTCTTGGAAAATAACTGTATTTGTAAGCATTAGTTGGTGCAAATATGGGTACCAAGGATCGATGATGTGTACGGCGAGTATTCCTAGAAGTGGCTGACTGAACACAACACGGTGCATTTAAGGCACCTTTCCCCGACGTAATCTTGTATAAAAACGTCAAGTGATTCAACTTTCACGATGTTTCTAACAAAGAAATTTTGTGTAATTTCGTTATCGTTCTAGGCGAGTCAAGTCTTTGATACTTGTTAAAAATAAATCTGCCTTTCGTTATATTTTTTTCAAGAAGCACAACATCTTTTATTGTAAATGGTTCCCATATGACTGCAGCATACTCTAACTTAGACCGAATGAAGGTGTTATTAGCCAAAAGTTTTATGCTAGGAGCACTTTTTAACTTGCTTTTTAGAAACCATATTTTACGAAGCACCTTTTGCAAGTATCTGTTAAGTATGGTGTCCAGGTAAGGCTGCTGCTGAGAGTAACACCTAAATATTTATAATTATCTACTTGTAATACTGGACTACCATGAAGGGTATAGTTAAAAGCGATCGTAACGGGTAACAGAACAGTTTTTTTTCAGAATTGAGCACCACATTCCACTCGCTACACTAGTTATCAATGGCCATAAGAGCTTTCTGTAATACATTCTGATCAGTTGTAGATGGATATTTTTTTGAATAAAATACAGTTGCTGCAAATAATCGAATGCTTACATGCTGGGGCACGACATCGACCAAGTCATTCACACAGATTAGGAATAACATTGGAGTCAGGACACATCGGGGAACACCAGAGCTAACGCGGAGCACTGTGGAGTTATCGCGACAAACCATACACTATCACAGAGGTAAGCCGTTATCCATTGGACAGTAAGCCTTGGTGTATTAGAAAATTGGAAAATTGCTGTAGTTTATACAATTTTCCATGGGGCACATTATCGAATGCTTTACAGAAATCTAAAAATAGCACATCTGCTTGTCCTACCAAGTTCAAAACACTCGAAAACGTATGCAAAGTTGTTGCAAGCTGAATGATTGTGGATAATCCTTTACAGAAACCATGTTAATGGCATGTTAGAATGTCTTTCCGTGTTGAAAAATTGTTTATATATTTAGCTACCACATGTTCAAGCAGTTTACAACGGTGAATAGCTGCTGCACCGTGACCTTTGATGCATACGTGGTTAAATGAACAAACTGCTATGATGTTCTTGTGCCACATTAAAGCTTTTAAGTATATGTAGATCTTTGGTGTCTGTGTTGGTAAGAATAGCTGAAATCCCATAAAAAATATTCATTGACAATAACAATACTCCTTAGCGCTGCATTCTAGTGTAAGCAGTGCAGTCTTTGTTCAACAGTAGACAAAGCACTTACTTACACTGTTGTTTTTTATTGCTCAAAAAGTGAAGACAGAGACACTGCATGCACAAGTTCGAGTTGCGGCCGCCTCAACGGTGCCAAGCTAGAGGTGGCAGCCACGTTTTTACAAGAACTATCTTTAACTTCATTTTCATATTCTCATTTCTAGCATTCTCGTGCAAGGTTCGTTTGGCATGTTAAGTTACTATGCTGTCAGCTCTAAAGCAGTGCATTTGAGTGCCCATATTCTTATTTTTGACTTTTATGTTTCAATTAGTAGCTTTATGTAGCCCTGACAATGTAATTACTCTAACATATTGATTTGTGGGGTTTAACGTCCCAAAACCACCATATGATTATGAGAGACGCCGTAGTGGAGGACTTCGGAAATTTCGACCACCTGGGGTTCTTTAACGTGCGCCCAAATCTGAGCACACTCTCTAACATATTGTATGTTTCAGTAGTAGTTTACCGTTATCATAATAGCAAGAGTTAAAGGAATAGCATTACCGTGTTACAAATAGCGCCTTTTAGTTTAGCTGGATAGAGTTAGTGGTGTACATGACTCAGCTTGGACGATGGTGCCACTTAGTCGAGGGAGAATACGTTAAAGAGCAATGAAAAGGATAAGAAAACATTTGCCTGTTCTATCGCGTGAAGCAATGTTACTTTTTTTTAGTAATAATTAAAGTAAATATGAATCGTGCACCAAACCTGACAATTTTCGTGTTGCAGATTTGTTTACCTCGTTCTTTTACTGAGGCCTCTGGGCGTTCTAAGCTATGTTATGGAATACTAACGTAGTGAAATAGCACCAATCAAAATAAAAAGGTTTAAGACATTAAAACAGACGTTTCAGCTACTGTATAGTAGCCTTGATTATTTATAATATTTTAATTCTTTTAATTTTGGTCAGTGCTGCTTCATTTTGTTTGTATATCATACTTCTTCCAGACCATATGATGCTTCATCAAACCATCGATTTCATAAAGCTAAGTTATCTGTAACACTTCATCATCAAAGCTACCAGAAGACTAACGAAGTCATTTTACACAGTTCTTTGCTGTAAAAGAAGTGATTCCGTCCCCATTAACGCTAAATGCAGTTCGAGCGGGCGTCCAATACTGCTGCCATGTTTTACGTATGCTATGTAAGCCTTGTAAACCACACATAGTAGCACAAAATCTGAAAAAATGGCATGCGCACGGTACACAGTACGGGGCGGCGTATAGCATGCTGTACATGCACTTTTCGATTCCTATTAACTATTGAAAGTGCACATTTTAATGCAGAGCGTGTCGTAGAAGCATGTTCACTAGCCAGCGCTGTTGTGACCCAGCCTTGCTAATTTTGTGACCAGAGTGTGTGGAATGACAGCAGTGCTATTGGGATCGTTATACACTCGCCTGCCAAGCAAGAGTCCCTGGTTAACACCACTGTCATACGCAGACTGACAACAGGGCTAAAGGGACCAGGAGCAACAGCCACCATCAGGTGTTGTGTGCCTTGCAAAGTTGGCATCATCGCACATGGTGGCGTGGGCCACTTGCAACGCAACACAATGATGACTTAAAAAAGCGTAATTCAAGAGCCCGTTTTCTTTGTTAGACACAACATTAGTGCAAACAACTAATAGACAATGATCCCAAGAATGCTTTCCTTGGAATCATTGTCTCTTAGTTCTCACTATCACAATGATGTCGAACAGTGCAAAATGCCCTGTAGAGCCTTCAAGTACAGTACCTGTGCCACAAAGGCACAAGAAATGGCAACACTTAACAAGTCATTCCCAACACTATATGTATTGCAAGACTACGTTTCATTGGCTTTTTTATATTTCATTATATTGGGTTTGAGTGTAACTTAAACGCCTTTCATACTTGGCTGGGCAGCCAAGTGAAGGTTGAAATTTAATGTTGGAGTCCAATTGAGAGCAGCCAAAGTAAGGCAACGAGATAAGACAATGCTATCAGCTTTACTCATACTGCATGTTCGTAGAATATAGCTGGCAGGATTGGGTGCATTCAGTACGGCTACTGTTGATGAAGCAAGTCAAAATGGGCCACCACAATCTATGAGGAGACAAAAGGAGTGAGAGGAGCTCTTATCTTCAAATTGCAATCATGATGCAATTGGAATAGGCTGTATTGGCCTCAATATCGAACAGTCTCCACCTAGTGGTGAACTGACAAAACCCAGAGGTAAGTATGCCGGTGGCCCATTGCTGCTTCAGCAGCAGTGTGTTGGGTTCGTTGTTCCGCAGTGCCAAGGCACGAGGACGGTTTGGTCACCATTGAATAAATTAATGATTTTTTTTTTGTAAAACCAATAGCTTTTTGAGGAGGGATGCAAAATGAATTTCTTTAATGCAATTACACGTGTACACTTGTCGCTTTTCAGTGTGTCCTGAGGCTAAAATATGCGATTCCATGTCACATGTTCAGAGTCGCCTCTTCCAGATGCAGCTCTGACAGTCCCAGTTCCATCATCACATACTTGCTCCCATCGTCCGGGCTTTTGCATAAGTCCCCAAAAAGCCTACCTAAAGTTCATTGCTGACAAGATAGCAAAACGTAACTGCACATGCTCTGCAGGATTCTACTAAATGGTCAAGTTGTTTGGATATGGTTAGTCACGACACTACTCACTATTTTTTGTATTGCACTTTGCCAGGCAGCTTCTGCTAGTACTACCAAAGGTCTCGCAGCCTATCAGGTCTGAATTGTTTTTCAGGTATCCGTTTAAAAGGTTCAGAAAATAAGTATACCAACATGACTTGCGGTGATAAATCATCACTTACATGATTTGTTCATTTCTGGAGCATCTTTTACTGTTTTGGGACTCACATGTACCTAAGAATACTGAGAGCTCTCGTGGAAGCCCAGTAAGCACGATGGAAAATGTGTAAACTACAGTAAGGCTCAGTGACATTCGTTTAAAATGAACTGAATACTTCCGTTAATTTACTTGCAGAGTACTCGGATACGTAAAAGCATAAGCAAATCATGACTTGTAGCTCTGGCCAAGGCACCACCATCTTTTGCGGGATGCAGTGGTGCTCATGCACGTGGCAACCACGCGACCAACAAACGTGAACGCTGAGATGATGGCCTGAAGACGAATATTTGAACTCTTTCGATATTGCTATTTTCACAAGAACACTGTAACACATTGATTTTTTCATATTATATTAATATTCCTAGTTGCTTAAACACCTATCTTCAAGTCGTTCATGCTTTTTTTTTTTTTGCACAAAAAATCGTACCTGCAGCTAGAAAAACGACGTAAATTGGTTATTAAATGTGGAGCATTTCTTAGTCGGTGGCGCCGTCCACACCCCCACTGCACATGCTCGCTCCAGGAGCCATTGAAGGACAGGCCGTTCAGCAAGCTGAGCATGTGCAGTGGAGGTGCATGGCTTGCTCCCCCGTACTCCTCGAACGCGGGCGGTGTGTATGTAAGTGGCAGAGTGCGCGTTCGGAATTCAGTAATGGGCGTCTTTGAAAAGTGTCAAGTCGGCTTTCGCTCGACTTGACACTTTGCTTGACTGCCTTGCTGTTCCAACACCTGGCAAGCCATAATGTTCCGAAAGGCTGGCATAGGAATTGAAGCGTATTCCTGGCTCTATGCAATACATGCACCATTACAGAATGAAGCAAATCCTTCCACATGGACATTGAACTTTCTGGAGCTATGGAACACAGAATGACCACATACAATGACCCCGCACGAGTGGTGTATCTTTGTGAACAAAGCGACAATGATCTTGACACCTATAACCTACAACAATGAGTAACAGTATCGCAAGCAGCTCTAGTGTCACTTCAGGGAATTATGCAACTGAACTTGCACGAAGCATACTATAAAATGTTGATATTTTTCGTGGAGCGATATCTGAATCCACACACCCCTTTTTTTGCTGCTTGCATGAATCATGTGTTGCCTCATCCCCACAGGTCTAGGCTTGGCTGCCAAGTGTACCTGACCAAAGACCTGAGTGGCATGGAAGTCAAAGTACCTGCTGGTGTCAACGATGCAAGGGGAACAGACACGTGACTACACATCGGTGCTAGATATTGCTAGTTATGCGTAGAAATACAATATATTTTTGCAGCAATTATCTCTTTTCTGTGAAGCTGCTACATAGGCCATGCTACAGACACACAGCAAAGACGTGTATCTCAAGTGATTTATTCTAATACCATCCAGTTTACACAAATCTGAAAAGCAAATGAAAGCATAAAAAAAGCAAACTTGCAAATACTTCAGCGATGATCTAATGTTGACCTCATCCCAACTCGAGAGCCAATGCATGTGAAAGACCTGGCATTTACAATCCTAGAAACCACATTTACAGGCGTTCTCCATACACTACCAATGAAGCACTGGGCAGTCGGCATTTTAAGACCGAGGAGTAATGTGGCTAAATTCATGCTAACCTATGTACATGAGCCAGTCAAACATTGCGAAAGCAAGGGCAAGAAAAAGCACAGTGGTAGAAAAGTAATGCATTAAGCTTGGCATGCACACCCTGCAGTGCATTTATATATTATACATCTGTACACTAAGTTAATTGTGAAGCCACCCCTTGGCAGCTGCAGTATCCAACGGTGCAAAAACATAAGCGTTCATTCAGAAAGAAGTAAGCAATCGTAATGCACCACCATAGAAAACGTGACTAAAACTTCACTCCTTGGCATACAAAAGCAGTCTTGCACGTCATCACAGGTGGCAACAGCACACACATTGCCAACACAGTAGGGCTTGTAGATGTTGAGGAATGAATGCACCAGCAGTTTGTGTGCAAGTCACTGCCAAATCAGGGCCGGCATGCTCAGCTGGATCATGTTGCCTGCTGCAGAGGAGGAGTCCTTCTTCGACTGTTACGACAAATCTGAAACGGAATCGTAACAGTTGGGTACAAATCTCATAAAAGGCTTTCCTCCCAGTGTTTCAATGTTTTAGGCTGTACACCCTAGAGAAACTTTTTACAATTTGCCTGCACTTGCGTCCAGCTGCAGGGTCTCGAGAACACCACTCTCGAAAGACACAGAGCAACCAACATGTGCACATGTATTAACCTGCTTTTACATCACGACAAGCTCGACAGCATCACCTAATACACCACACTAAATGAACCACGCCAATACAACACACAAACATAGCCAGCATGAAGTACTGCGAATGTGGCATCGCCTATGTTCGACTCATTAAGAGCGATCCACGGGAAACGACCATTGGTGCAGTGCCCCATGGATCCACCACAGGTTATTTTTGTCGATGCGCGGCGCTACTCTAAAAGAATCTTGCTACTATTTTCTGAGTGCAGGCACAAGCTATCCTGCTAAGGAGCGCTGCAAGTGCCACCGTCCTAACCCTAACCCACTAGCGTATTGTTTATCGCAGGTGGCAAAATTGAGCATAACTTTTCCTTGTGTCTTCACATGGTGCAAAATGACGTCAACTGTTCAATTTCGTGGCAGCAAAGCCAACTCAACGGAAAAGGCAACTTGTTTCTGTTAGTTACATCATCGCTTTTTCGAACAAAGAAGTAGCTGTGAATGATGGTTAATAAGAAATGCCACTTTTTCAGTGGTTGCCAGCGTAACCGTATGTGCCATGGTATTTTCATGACCATCACTGATCAGCTGTTTTTAAAAATGGCTAGAATGCACCCACCTGATGGTTAAATACGCATGCAACAAGTGTTTCAAATGCCTTTAAAGACATGTCTTTTGTGCCTTTGGGCCAGGTGAAACACGACCATGAAGTTGTTCGATCGTAGCATCCATGAGAAAGCTCCAATGGTGAGTTCAGCCTGCCACAGTAATATTCTCTGTGCACGCGACTTAATAAACTGATGTTCTTTTTGTCAGAGCCTAGCCATATCCAGTTCACTTAAGGCGTTTTTGAATCAATTTAACATTTCAATTGCTCAATTAACATTTAAAGCGACACCAAAAAGCAAAACAATTTTCGCATATTAGTGAAGTACAATTCCACAACTCCTAAAACACCAATCTTACCACGACATGGTGCTTGGTAAATGAAAAAAATGTGTGACCAAAAAAAAGATGTGGGTGGAGACGCAAAATCTCCACAACAAACATCGTGACGTCATAGATATTGAAATCTTCCGCAGGCACCATTTTGGCTCAAACATTCCTGATGACTTGCATTGTCTCGCAGGCACCGATTGATCGCTTTCAGCAAAATGCATGGTAACTTAGCTCAGTTTATTACTTCTCGTTCATCAAGCAGCAACTTGGCTAAGTTTATCACTTCACAAAAGCTTGAAAGAAGGCAAGGCCGCAACAGTGCGGCAAAAATAGACGCCTCAGATCGGAACAACCTGCACTGACATTACACAGTACATGGGCCTTCAGCATTTTTTCTCTGTCAAAACACTGTGACCACAATCAAACCCATGTGTTTCAGGTCAGCAGACAAGCACTGTGCTACTGAGCAAATGCAACACAAAGTACGGGCACCATGACTAAAAAACCACCAACACGATTTGGTGTGATACGACACCCAGAAAAACAAATGCACAAAAACTGCCAGCGTATTAATGACAAAGAGTGCTTACCAGTGCAAACAACAGGGCAGGAGGGGACAGGAGAAGAGACGAGACAGAGCGCTGAACTGCCAACAATTTATTTCTTGCGAAGGTCTTCGCTTTTATACAGTTATAAGTCGCAACAGTCATGCGTGAAGAAGGGGTGCTACGCCGACAAGCAAAGGAACAACTTTTCCTTATTGGTGAGCGCGACAGAAGGGGTGCTAACACAAGCATTTTTCAATGAGCAAATCTTTTCTGCCCCTATAATCTCTATTCTAAAATAATTCTATTCCGCATGACTCATTCTTGCAATGCATTGGAGAATATATAGATGAGTTTGGCGCCTCCAAATTCCAGACCCAGTCTGGCGTCAGCGTCACTGGGTTTTTAGAGCTTTTAAGGTTTTACCTTCAGTCGACTTACATCCTATGGAATTGAAAACCTAACCTTCAAAAATCCGGTATCTGTATTGGTTCTCGCATCGCTCCCATTGTCAGTGATCTGTTTTTAGGCAAATTAGATCCATTTCGGAAGTTTTCACAAACACTAATGTGACGCAGGTTTTCAGATATGTAGATGATTTTTAAATTTTTATGGACATCGATGTTGCATCGTATAGGAATGACGCTCTTGCAGTTTAAGACCTGATCAGAAATGGTTTCAAACATTTTGAGCTTACTTACGTACTTTCTGAAAATTGTGAAATCAGGTTCCTTGACTTTAAGCTATTCCTGAATAATGGACGCACTTGCTGGATGTATCAACCACGTGGAAATAAGCCTGTTTTGCCTTTTCATTCCGCGCATTCTAAATTAGTTGAGCGAGGTATCGCAAAATCTTGCTTCATGAATGGCTTGCGAAAATCCTGTGTGCACAAGATTACAGAAAGCTTTGTTGATCAATCTTCAAGGCTGACGTTGGCTGGTTACCCGGACCACGTGCAAGTTTTCGTTGCCGAGGGCCTGCTGCGTGAACTTCAGGCCAAAAGGAACGATAATGTAGTCCCACCTGTCACAGCTAGACAGGCTTTTGCGGTGATTCCGTATATGCACAAGATAGTGCACAATCTTAAGAAAGTGGCACAGCGAGTTAATGTGAAGGTGGTCTTCACGGCCCCTCAAAAATTGAGTCGCCCGTGAAAGCTGTTCGTTCCTCCGTCCAGACCCACCCTCGGTTGCACTAAAAAACATGCAAATAAATTTAGAGATTGCATCTATAATGTCTGGAGTATCAGCTGCTGTTATCGCGTGGAAGGTATTATGTCGGTCAAACAGGTCGTTGTATAAACGAGAGGCTGAGGGAACATATGTAAAATGTGGATCGCTATAAACTAGGATGGCTGTCCATGCACTGCAGCACGTGTGGCTGCCGGCCAATATTTTCAGAGTGTACTATTGTTGAAACATGCAAGGATCGCATCACACGCGAGATCATACAGGCAGGAAAGACATGCTCATTGAAATATGCTTGTGTTAGCACCCCTTCTGTCGCGCTCACCGATAAGGAAAAGTTGTTCCTTTGCTTGTCGGCGTGATATACTTATGCACTGTGATTGTGTTTCACGCATGACTGTTGCGACTTATAGCTGTATAAAAGCGAAGACCTCCACAAGAAATAAATTGTTGGCAGTTCAGCGCTCTGTCTTGTCTCTTCTCCTGTCCCCTCCTGCCTTGTTGTTTGCGCTGGTAAGCACTCTTTATCATGTTATACCAACACGCCCAATCCTACTGTCTCTTGAGTATTAATGACAATGTTAAGGCTGACCGAAAAACAACAGGTCTCCAGACAGTTTTTTCAGCCAAGGAAGATCGAACATGGCCTCTGAAACTGGAAGATTGTGAGCGCATCCAATCTTAGAAGCAGCCAAACATGACCAAGCCAACGAAAAATCTGAAATGGCGGCTTTCAAATTCAGTAGCATGGCTTAAAATGAGCAATAGAGTCCGGAAAAGCTAACTTTAGGGCATGAATTTATCCGAAAAATCCTTCGCGAAAATGCATGAGTGCTATGGGAATGACAAAAAAATGGAACTCGGCAGTGGTTGTGTCCTGGATAGCCCCGCAATGTCAACAGAGGGACATTCTGCTGCTTCTACTTGGACCATGACTTTGGGCAAGTCAGCACAACAGCGCGATCTCAGTTGGCAAGTTCTGCAGAACAGACATTTACATCGTCGACTGAATTGTGAAATACGAGTGTTTTGCAGCAGTTTATCGGTGGGACCCAACAACGATGCCCGCCGACGCAGCCTTCTATCTCTGGGGAATGGCAGACATGTGGTTTCAGGCTCATAAGGCAGCTATAACAAGTTGAGATGCTTGTAAGCAAAAGCTCCATGACCTCTTTGATAGACAGTTAGCCACTTCGAAGGATCTCTCCAGTCAGGATCAACAAAATTCGACTGAATTCTATCTGTCGTACATACCTGATGTTCTCACACTTCGCCATCGTGTCAACATTAACATGACCGAGAAAGACAAATTCAGCCATGTGCTCAAGAGCATTGCAGATGATTCTTTCGATCTGCTGGTGTCGAAAGAGTGCTCGACCATGGACAACATTATTAAAGATTGCCGGCACTTTGAAAAACTGAAGAGTCGCTGCATCGCCCAGCATTTCAAGCCACTTTCAAATACTGCAGCTACGTCCCCCTGCAAGGACCTTCAGCTGTCTATCACTGAGAGCGTAGTCCAAATCATGAGTCACGAAATCGAGGCGGCGTCTTATCTTTTCAGCACAGTCGACAAGATATGTGGACTTGTCTGTTGCCCAGGCAAAGCTTTGCATTGGTAATTTTATGCTTGTAAATCGCTGTCATCACAAAGTGCCAGGAACAGCTTCTGCCATAGACACTGATGAGTACGGTGCTATACAGCAGAGTCCCACTTAAAACTAAATTTCTCTTAAAACGAATGATCACACTTACAACGAACGTCCGTGAACACCGCTGATTGGTTAAAACGAACGGAGTCTGCGCTCCGGCACGCGGTGCGAGAAGTATAGGTGGAACGATGGAGCGTCACTGCTGCTCGCTCGCTGCGTTCAACTTATATTCCACCCCATCGCGAGATGGTAGGAGCAGTCACGTGGCTCACAGCCGTGCGAGTGGAGAGCGGGTGCCATTTAGGCAAAGCAGTTGTAGTCACGTTGCGCTCTTGTTTTCGTTGTTTTTTTTTTTGCTTATGCGCGATGAGAGTCCATACTGTTCGTGTGAGCAAGTTGTGAAATGGGAAAAATGTTTTGTGCTCCAGTGCAAATCTGGCTATACACATGCACGAAAAAAGTTTTGCTGCTCCCCGAGATGCGGACTCCGTGCTGCAGCCGACCGACT